GGTAAGTTTCCCTAACGTCTTTTCTTACTGAGGAAATCTTCCCTAACTTCTTATCTTACTAAGGTAAGTTTTCCATAACGTCTTTTCTTACTAAGATAAGTTTCCCTAACGTCTTTTCTTACTGAGGAAATCTTCCCTAACGTCTTATCTTACTAAGGTAAGTTTTCCATAACGTCTTTTCTTGCTAAGGTAAGTTTTCCATAACGTCTTTTCTTACTAAGGTAAGTTTTCCATAACGTCTTTTCTTACTAACGTAAGTCTTCCCTAACGTCTTTTCTTACTAACGTAAGTCTTCCCTAACGTCTTTTGTTACTAACGTAAGTCTTCCTTAACGTTTTTTGTTACTAAGCTAAGTCTTCCTTAAAGTTTTTTTGTTACTAAGCTAAGTCTTCCTTAACGTTTTTTGTTACTAAGCTAAGTCTTCCCTGACGTCTTTTGTTGCTAAGCTAAGTCTCCCCTAACGTCTTTTGTTACTAAGCTAAGTCTTCCCTAACGTCTTTTGTTACTAAGCTAAGTCTTCCTAACGTCTTTTGTTACTAAGCTAAGTCTTCCTTAACGTTTTTTGTTACTAAGCTAAGTCTTCCTTAACGTTTTTTGTTACTAAGCTAAGTCTCTTGTTACTACGGTAAGTTTTTCCTAACGTCATTTGTTGCTATTGCAAGTTTTTCCTAACGTCTTTTGTTGCTAAGGTGAGTCATCTCTAATTGATTTTTTTTTATTAACGTAATTTTGCACTAGGTTATCTTTTTTTATCAGGGCTTGAAGTAACTCACGGACTCGTGGGACCGACTCCAAGGATTCTACTCACATCACGGATTTCATAGAGTATAAACAAAGCATGCGAGTTCTGTTTATTTTTGGTGACAAAGCTACTACTGTTCTGTTCCGCCGTCCCTAATTTTGAACTACTGACCAGAGGGAAGGTAGCCAGTTAGAAGCACCCTACCACCAACTACCCACGCTAGGGGGTTCATTGTCACTTTTATAACGCTCTCACACTTGGAAGTGCGAGAAATATTTCGTGGTATCGAACGAATTCCAACCCGGCAGGCGAGTTAGACAAAGAAACTTATATTGTATTAGTATTCCTAATATGTTTTGGTTTTGGAAATAGAAAGTGTCCTAGGATAGGTGCTTATCTAGCGCCCTATAACATTTAATGCAACTTCCTGTTATCTAACTACTTGTCGCGACTTTGTGGTACGTGTTGTTTTATTTTTTGTTTATGCGGGTTTTTTTACTGTCCTTTAATTCAACTGCTCGTAATTTCCAAACGTTTCGTTAACACACTGATGGGCCCGGCATGGCCAGGTGGTTAAGGCACTCGACTCGCAATCTGAGGGTCGCGGGTTCGAATCCCTGTCACACCAAACATGCTCGCCCTTTCAGCCGTGGGGGCGTTATAATGTGGTGGTCAATCCCAATATTCGTTGGTAAAAGAGTAGCCTAAGAGTTGGCGGTGGGTGGTGATGACTAGCTGCCTTCCCTCTAGTCTTACACTGCTAAATTAGGGACGGCTAGCGCAGATAGCCCTAGTGTAGCTTTGCGCGAAATTGAAAAACAAACAAACAAACACACTGATGACGTTATAGGGTTCTTTCATGCCAAAGTGAAAGTTGTTAATTCGATTCACGTGTTTAACTGTTCTAATACAGTAATATCGGTAGTTAAAGCTCGGTTTGATTATTCATAAGCGCAAAGCCACATAGTGGGCTGTTTGTGCTCTGCCCAAAAGTGGTATCGAAATCAGATTTTAAGTGTCGTAAGCCTGCAGCCTTATCGCTAAGTTACTAGTAAAAGCTATCGACAGTTAAATATAAGTCATTTTCTTTACATAAATAACATCGTAAGCCTATTTAGTTACATGCGAATAACGTTCAATTACCTTACCTTTTTGCTTTTCGATTAAAAAAAACCTTCTTTTGTTTGTTTTGAATTTCACGTAAAGCTACACGAGGGCTATCTGCGTCCCTAATTTAGCAGCGTAAGGGCAACTAGTCATCACCACCCACCGCCAACTCTTGGGCTACTCTTTTACCAACGAATAGTGGGATTGACCGTCACATTATAACGGCCCCACGGCTGAAAGGGCGAGCATGTTTGGTGGGACGGGGATTCGAACCCGCGACCATCAGATTGCGAGTCGAGCACCCTAACCACCTGGCCACCTTCTTTTGAGCAGAAGTACAATCCTAGATTTAACAAATAGTAGTAAATTCACACAACTCTAATATACAAGCGTTATAATATTGTTTTGGTAATGCAGGAAATATATTCCTTGCTTTTATAATTATATAAAACCACCTGAAAAAGTTATGAAAGTATCATAGCTACAATATTTTTTTCCTTAATATATTTATAAGGAAAAGATGCTACATGACTCTCAAATATACACTAAGTGGTCACAAGTAAATAGACACCTAATTTTTCCTCATTTAACTGATTTATGCTAACTAATTTGTG